AACTGGCTCCCTGGTATCACAGGACTGGTCTGTGGAAGTACAGTAAGCAGGAATGAAGCAGTAATTCGCGAAATTCATGGCGAAAGGTCTTCCTCTAAAAAAGAAAACAAGATTTTTAGAACCCTTGAATATATTGCTCGAAGCTTTCAAGGAGAGAGGGAGGGAGTTTTACATCAATTATAGTAGTTTTGAGCTTCAAACCATACTGGGAACAATTATAAGGTCATTTAACCTTAAGCAAATACTGCGGGGTTTTTTTAACAAAATGCAAGTTGAAAATGAGCAGTTAAGATGACAATTAACCAATTAGTAACTTGTTAAAGCTGGAGAATTTAACGTTCTTTTTGCCTTCAAAGAATGAGTTCAGACCTTCCACATAACTTTCAATCGTTTATTCTTGTTTTGAGAGACGTTCATTCTACAGTTCCATTTAGTAGTGTACTATTTATTTGATGTCCTCGTGTATTTTAAAGCTTCACTTCTGAGCTCAAACTTGTAATCAAGCAATCAGTATCACATGAAAGAACTACTCATCCACAGACTTTACAGGAACAGCTTTGAGTACCGATCGATAGTTTTCATTTGAATGGTCACACTAACTGGGATTTCTTCCACCATACAGGAAACAAAAGAAGTACAAACCGTCTCGCACAGCACACCAAATGGCAACACATGAGTTAGCATACTTCCCTAGTTTAAGCTAAAGAGATAAGCGCAGCCCCGAAGGCTTTGATAACTCGGCCGCTTAGGTCTGCCACAGGATCATTTTAGATTTTGACCATTTTGAACAGAAAATGGGGTACCGCACATATGGTTTGTGCGGTGAGCAATTAGGTATAATTTTGAGAAGCAACTTTTGTCGGCGTTACCATTCATCTCTCGGAAAGGTAAACCAAAGCAGCGCCTAATCATAAGTAGGATCTGGTCTGAAATAGAGTATATCGATCATTAGGCCGGAAAACAGTAAGGGTCAGGGCAATCACAGATTTGGGTCTGAAACAGGGCTTTAAGAAACACGCCGCACAACCCCACTAAGATGTAAGGGAAAT